ATAGCACACACCCTGGCACTGAGGAGATCGTACCAAATGCTTCTTCTCCCCCTTTGCTCCCTCTCCCCCTGCTCCTCCATTTCCTTCTCCTCTTCACTCCCCCTTCCCCCCCCCCCACACACACACACTCTGCTCATCCTCCCATCCCCTCGTCTAGGACCTCATTCTATCAGTCATCCTCCTGGTCCAGCATTTTTTACCAGTTCTCCCTGGGGGTCTTTTCCCTCTATAACAACCATCCTCAAGAATCCCCTGTCCATTAAATTTAAAATGAATATCAAACCTGCCATTGCTCCAGCGAATATTCTTCCCTCTGTGTCTTCACTGGCAAACGTACCGAAAGTGTTCTACACTCAAATCCAACAAGGCCTTACCACCCGCTCACTCATCTATTCATGTCACAAATATCTGAGCTGCTACCGTCTGCCAGGCACTGTGCCAGGACTGGGGACACATGGTGAGCAAAGGGACCAGGTCCCTGCTCTCGCGGTGCTCACCGGTGCTGGTTCAATGTCGACCGTTCGCACCTGTCTTCCTCGACTGGAGGGAGAGCTACACAGGGGCAAAGACCTCGTCTTCCCTCGTCCTCGGGACATCCCTGGTGTCTGGAGTATTCCAGGCACGTGTCGATGTTTTTAAAACATCTGTTGAATGAATAGCTGATAGGATAAAAGAATGAAGGATAAACAGGCAAAGGAGGGAATAACTTGGAACAGAGACCCCTGAAAAGAGGGGGTTTCCTGGGACAGCCCAGGAAACATAACTTGAAGTGGCAAAATGCTAACAACAATAAATAAACTTTGGTATTTATTAGAAACCTCCCCTGTCCGTTAGAAGCAGTCCGACTGAACCAGCGCCTGTGCTGGTAAATCCAGCGCGGTCTTCAGAGCTGGACCAAAGACAACAAAACCACGACGGCTTTGCAAAGCTTCTGCTCGAAAAGCATTTTTACTTCTTCACAAACACTGCTTAGCAGCAGAGTCCCCTGGGCTTCCTCCCATACTGATGCTGTAATAGATTCTTTTCTAACAGCAAGGGCAGCGAGAGACAGGGGTGGGGTGGAGCGCTCTCCTCCCCCAGAAAATGAAGAGCCTCCTGTCCGATGCCCAGAGCCCTCCACGGGCCCACACCTCACCTCTCCGTCTCTCAATGGGAGCAGACAGCCCGGCTGCTGCTGCTTCTCGTTTTCCTCTCCACGGCTGCGTTCTTTCCAGTCTGACACAGGAAAGGAAGGAAGGGAGAGCAAGGGAGAAGGGTCGGAGGGACAGGGGGACGGAGGTACTGGGAGGTTGAGAAGAACTGAGCTCACTTGGCTTCTCCCGGCCATCACAGGCTACTGAACCCCGAAACGCGCAGGTAAGGGTCCAGCCCATACCTCATCACAGAGCCCTGGCCCTAGGCATGGGGACGTCACTGCTCTTGGGTTCTGGTGGCAATGGGGAGTGGCAGCCACCTCAGGCTCCTCTGTGAGGACACCGATGTCTCTGGTGTCCTGGGGAGGGTGCGCTGGCGGTAAGGAGGAACTGGGGCTCCCAGGCTGCGGTGGGCTGTGCTGATGGATGACCCCAGGGCCCCCGATTGCTCATGGAATGAGGGAAAACAAACTCAGCAGAATGACAAGGTTTGCATGGGGAAGCAGCAGTCCCCCTAGAAGCAAACATTTCCGCAGCTTTTTATTCTCCCCTTTCTTTTCAGTGTTTACCTCCATGTTTTAAAAGAACACAAGTGTACTGCTAGTACCAGATTTTTCAATTTTCGGTATTATCACACTAACTTCCTTTTATGGAAAGTAGGATTTGGCCACCTTCCGGCATCTTTACCAGTCACCAGGTGTACACACATAGAAACACACTTCCCTTCCCCTGCACCCTCCAAAGTCTCCTCTCACGGTATTCAGTTAAATCAGTTTCACATTTCCTCACTATGGCCATGGAAATACCCTTTGTCCCTGATTCACAGTTCACTACAGTCACATTTCTTTCTTGAGCTGCACTGGGATACAATCTCATGCCTATCAGACAGTCAACAATTAAGTATCCGTATCACAAAGTGTTGGTGAGAAGGAAGCACAAAGGAAATTCTCACATGATGTCGCTATGAGTATGGACAGCCACATTCAGATCATGTGACTCTGGGGGGTACCTTTCTGTGTCTCTGCTTCCCACTGTGCACATTCAATGACTTCACACCTCTAATGGCACAGCACAGCGCCTGGGACATGGCGAGGACTCGAGAAATACTAAATACTGCTGTTGGCAGGTCTCTCCGTTCCATTCTACATGCTTCCTTGCAGTGGTTCTCAGCCTTCCTAATGCCGCGACCCTTTAATACAGTTCCTCATGTTGTGGTGACCCCCAACCGTAAAATTATTTTTGTTGCTATTTCATAACTGTAATTTTGCTACTGTTACGTCTTAGGCGACCCCTGTGAAAGGGTCATTTGACCCCCAAAGGGGTCGCAGCCCACAGGTTGAGAACCGCTGCTTCATAGCACTATAACCACATAACAACTATAATCAAGTGTCCGTGTAACACTGATGTGAGTCTGTCTCCCCTCCAGATGAAAAGCTCTCCAAGGATGAGAACCGTGCTCATTCGGCTCTCAGCTACCCTGTTTGCACTAGCAGAGGGCCATGCTCAAAATCAGCGAATGATTACGTGAGGGAAGAACACGTGAGTGCCTCCACTGAGACAGAGATGCGCAGCGTGAGGCCTAGAAGCTTCTTTTAAAGCACGGAATTGGAAACTGAGCTACGAGGCTCCTACGCTACATTATCAGCAGCCTAATTCTTTCCACCGACTCGGTAGTTTGTTATGATGAAGGTCAAGGATGGTTCGTAGAGTGGAAGGAAGAAGTGTGCTCTTTGGAAGCTTGGTTATATAGAGATGTGATGGAAAAGAGTAAGAAGAGTAGGTGACAGTTGGCTGGAGAGTCGTGAGACCACAAGAGAGGCTATTTTTGAGATAAAATTAAAACCGCTCTGGGCTGGACCAGATGAGAGAGTGCAGTTCGTTGTCACATCATTACTGCCTGGAGCAAAGCGGAACCGCGCGAGAACTCTTTTGAGTGTGTTTGAAAAGAAAGAGAAGAGCAAAGGAGATCCGTAGCTCACTCTCTGTTAAGTAAGGCTGGCCTGCCAGTTTCCACATGACATGACATTATCATTGCTCCATCGGTGAAGGGGAAAGAAAAGAACGAAAATCTCACATGAGCCCAAGGGAGGTCCTCGGGCTCATGGCATTTGGCTGAGCTGAGCTTGGCTCGCGATGAGAGCTGGGCTCTTGGCCTTTCTCAGACGCTGGGATTTCCAGAGCCAGCCGAGCAGCGGGCTCTATTAAATGATCTCCAATTATCAGCTTCACAGGCAGGAAGGTGATTAAAATTTAATGACATAGCCCAGCTTGTTGACATTCATCGGCTGTCATCTTCCTTTCAGGGAGAAGAAAGAATTGGGAAATGTTGGGGGGAAAAATATTTTTAAGGTAAAATTCTTCCTCTGACAAGTTAGGAGGATAAGTCAACCACAAAAAGAAAAATGATCAAAAGTGATGTTGCCTTATAATTACTGATTTAGAGTCGACATGTCAAATGGTTGCTATTTTTGGATTTAATAGGGAAAGCGATTCTCCATATATGCTTCAACTTCTAATATGCTTAGTCAGACATTCTTATCAATTCTCCATACTTATTTTTTTCTTTCTTTATTGATTCTAGAGAAAGAGGAAGGGAGAGAGAGATAGAAACACCGATGAGAGAGAACATCGACTGGCTGCCTCCTGCACGCCCCCCACTGGGGATGGGCCCACAACCTGGACATGTGCCCTGACCAGGAATCGAACCGGCGACCTCTTGGGTCAATGCGCAACCACTGAGCCACACCAGCCGGGCGCAATTCTCCACACTTTAAAATGACTATGTTTTACACTTCATTTTTAGTTAAATGGGCTACTAAATAAAGTTTTGTTGTGGTTTGAATATGATGTTTGACAATGAAGTAACAGTGCGCCTCTAGGGTTCAAACTGAACCTCTGCAGACTATTTCACAGCACTATTTCACAACACCCCAACTGTCTGGGCCATCCACTGCGGCAGCATCCCTGGAGGAAGAATCGCTCCAAGGCCAGCAGCACCTTTTGTTGGACATCACCTAGAGGCATGAGTCACAGCTGAAGCTGTGAAGCCAGAGACTTCACCGTGGAAAGGCCAGGGGTCGTAAGAAAGCCCTAAAGATAGTAACAGATCAGACTCTGGAGAAGAACAGGGACATGCACATGTGCGGAAAGAGCCAGAAGCAAAGCACGTGTGTGCGTCATGACTTTTCATTCGTGGTTCTAAACTATAAATTGCATCAATGTGATTATGACATGTGACAAAAACTGTATCTTTCCCTGGGTGGTCAAACCATGCAGGCTACAAGCTAATCTCTGAAAGTCCTGATTATACTTAATCTTCATGCCAAGTTATTACAGAGGCAGGTCTCAGGGCAGCATCTACCTGCTGGGAGCCAGCACCAGCCAGTCTGAGGTGAGCATCCTCGCCCACCCCATGTGCGTGGTCTCGATTGCTGCTCCAGTCAACGGGGTACCTCATTTTTGCTCTTTCCCACCCTCAATCTCTCTCTTCCTGTCTGCTTCTGCCAAAGGACACGCACACAAAGAATCCCATTGTTTAGCTAGAAGTGCTGCCTGGGCACTTCAGGTTCCTTGTGCCAAGGGAGCAGCAGGCAAGAAAAAGAGTCACCATCCTAAGCAGGACTGACTGCCCCTGACCATCGTGAAGAGGCAGCGTTGCTGCCGCACAGTAGAAAGAGAGAGGAATATGTCTGATGTCCAGGCAACCCACCAGGGAGCCTTTTGGATCTCCCTTGCTCAATTTTTGTTATAATTGGACAAGTGTAGCAACCGGACCTGGGAAGAACGTGGTGATCAGGGCTGGTTCCTGGGTGAGAGGGTCTGGGTCCTGCCGCCAGGGAAACCAGGAGGACGGGCAGAGGTGCTAGCTGAGTGCAGGAGGAGTCTAGAGTGGGCACCAAGGGTGGGACAGGAGTGACAACGGCGCCCTGGCACCAGCTCCAGCAGTGAAGCTACGGTCTCAGCCCCTCGTCTTCCTCGTCCACGTGTTTCCCAGGAGGTGGCCCCCTGGAATCCTGCAACAGCCAATCCAGAATGAATGGGAAAAACTGGATTCAAGCATCATGAGGAGTGAATCTCCCAAATCTCCCTCCAGGAAATAACTCACCTGATGCTGAGAGGGCCGTCAGCAACTATTCAGGGACTGCCTTGGGGACAGAGCGCTGCCTTGCCCAAGGTCACGTCCCTTTTCAGAGTGGCCCACATTTAATGACTGATTGATGGCCTGGCCACCTCAACCAAGCTCGGGACGAATCCAAAGGGTCATCCTACCTGGAGAGCTCTCATGGGGTCAGCCTCGGCGGTAACTGCACCTGCCTCACCCGTCAGTGATTCCTCTGCCTCCTTCTACCCCCTTCCATAGGTAGTAATCCTAAGGACGCTCCTTAAAGGACATCTTGCCCACTAACTTCTAGCCCAGAGTCTTAGTAGTCATCTAACCTCAGTGTCTTCAACTCTAAAATGGGGGAAGCCCTGTCCTGTTCATGTCATAGGGGAAAAAAGCCAAATAGCATCATCTGTATTTTTTTAAATCATAAAGGGTTATACAATTGCAAAGCTGCCGTTACTATTGTTATTATCTAAATAATCACGTCCCCAAGTCTTCCATTCCCTCTTTTCTAGTATAATCCAGTTTTGGATAATGCTAAAACATGAAAACGATTAGCCGGTTCTAGCTGAAGGGCAGATTAGCTACACTGAAAATGAAAAAGGGTTCTGGATATAAACACAAATCTTACTTTTATTTCACACATTAAAAAGCAACCTAGTACCAGCATTTTCTTTTTTTCAGTTATGGGCTTCTATCATGTTGCCTATGCATTGCTATGGCAACAGAAAGAGAAAAAAAAAATCCTTTATCTACCTTCACAGGTTTTAAAAATAAACAAAACAAAATATTAACCAAAACCATTGGCCTCGATCCAGCCGTTCTTTGCCATCAGTGCTAACTCAATGAAGCAGGAGTGATCACCACCTGTTCTCTCCCCAGGATGAGCAAACAGGCCAACTCCACTCTATTAATTAACTTATGGGCAGGAAATGGGTGTCAAGCAGGCGAACGTCTTCCCACTGTGGTCTGCAGTCTAAAGAGGTAGCCGACTGCTTCCCACGGGGCGCAGCTGTCTTAACCTGTGGTGGTTGCTCTGGGTAGATGAGGTAAGAGCTTTCTGGATGAGCTAGCTTCTGTCAAACTATCCAGTGGCTGTTTGATCACCCTAGGGAGATAGCATCACCCTAACGTCCCATTTGATTTTACTGTATTTGTTTCATGCCATAACCTGAGGTCAGAGACAGTTCCTAAATTTAAGCAGTTTAAAATAAGCTGAGAATAGAGATTCAAACACCGTTTACCCAGCTGCCGGGTCACTTGATATTGAAACTCCCCAGAAAACTCTCTCATCAATGCTTTCCCATCCCTGCATCACAGACAGGCCAAGGGTATCTGTGATGACAAATTCTAGCCATCATGCCCCCCCCCCCCACCCCCGTCTGCACAATACAAGTAGCAGCCTGCAGGGGAGAACAGCAGCCACTGGGAAAGTGTTAGACAGTTCAGCAGTGCCCAGCACGGAGCTTGAAGCACAGTAAGGGTGCACATAACTTTCCACCCAAGACAAAGAATCTGGCCTCCATCCCCCGAGCCCCAGACCCTCTCTAAAATCCTAGACACTTGGTGAAATGGGGACCAGTGATTGCATTAAACACTGAGAGCACGCTGATGTTGTTGGTACATACCTCAGTAACTAGTCTTGAAAAAAAAATTTTGAACCAGGTACAAATAACTTTTGGGTAAGTAATTTTAACATTTTAGGTAACAAGTTTTAAAGTGTGTTCTGTAGAAATTTTAAAGTCTTCCAATGTGGTCCAGATATTCCATACATGTTTAAGAATAGAGTTTCAATTTTTAAGATGATGATGGTAAGAAAACAATGAAGGGACTCAAGTGCTCGAGTGTATCATATACCAAAGGAAACCACCAACGCTTATAAAATTAGATGCCACCAGGTCAGCAGAATGCCCCATGCCTCCTCTGGGTAAAGCCGAACTCTTAGAAATGTGTCATTCATTTAGAGGCTATATTTTGCCTAAATCTTTTTTAAAATTAAGACCTGCCTATATCAGCTCAAGGTACAAGGAAAATTGTACAAGCCAAGCGCAAACTACACACAGGCATTCAGCTCAAATGCATGTGACACAAAGCTTAGCGACACTTGCCACTGTTACAAGTAGTTGTCATAATTATAAATTGTCAGGGATTTTTAGCTGAAAGCCCATAGATACAATTTTCTTTTATTGGTTTTAGAGAGAGAGGGAAAGAGAGATAGATAGATTGATGAGAGAGGACATCAATTGGCCGCCTTCTGCTTGCCCCCCACTGGGGATCGGGCCCACAACCTGGGCATGTGCCCTGACTGGGAATCGAACCGGTGACCTCTTGGTACATGGGTCAATGCTCAACCACTGAGCCACACTGGCCAGGCAATACAATTTACTTTAAACTCCCTGAGTTCATGATCAGTGAGCTTTTACCAGGTATTAAACCACCTCAACATTTAGTGGCTGAAAATATTTTGCTTAGCACAGGCTTGTGTTGGTCAGCAATTTGGATATAGTTCAGCTGGGTGGGTCTTCTGTCTCCGTGGGCTCTCCTGCCTCTGCAGCCCACGGCTGTGTGGCACTACTGGTCTGGCTGACCTCTCTCCCATGCCTGGGGCTTCAGCTGGGACAGCTCGTCTTTGCTGTATGTCGTCTCCCCTCCTCTCATCCTCCAGCAGGTGACCTGGGCTTGTTCCCATGGTGGGGACAGGGTTCAAAGAGTGAGAACAAGGTGTGCACAGACCCTCCTGTGGCCCTCAGAACTTCCCCAATGTCACTTTCACTGCATTCATTCTATGGGACAAAGCAGGGCACACCGGCACAAATTCAGAGGCTGGAAAAGTATAATCTCCTTCTTCATAGTAAGGGAAGAATTTGTGGTCGTTTTTGCAATCACCTACTTGGTGTTCTCATCTGTACATATAAGAAACCCCAAGCAATTGTATTACATGGGATAACATACCAAATTCACAGGCTACATTGGAAGTGCTCCATAAAAATCAGCATCTTTCTCTCCTCTATTCCCTTAGTAAGAAAGTGGGACCACAGAGCAATGAGAGAAGTTTTTTTGTGTAGCTTATACACATCATTTTATTAATTCAAGGTTTAATTGGATGCTGTCTTTGGTTAGCTTTATTACATTAATAAATGTATTAATTATAAACCTATATCAAATTAACTTAATTGGCCCTGGCTAGTTTTGCTCAGCAGTTAGAGCATCGGCCCGTGGACCAAAGAGTCATGGGTTCAATTCCAGTCAAGGGCACACACCCTGGTTGTGGTTCAGTCCCTGGCCCTGGTCAGGGTTGTGCAGGAGGCAACCAATCAATGTGTCTATCTCACATAGATGTTTCTCTCTCTCTCTCTCTCTCTCCTTCTCCCTCCCTCCCTCCCTCTCACTTTGTCTGAAGATAAATGGTAAAAAAGTATCCTCGAAGGAGGTTTTAAAAAAAAATTAACTTAATTGTATGTACATACATGTATTGATATTAAATCACACATGAAGAGAAATTCTACACCAACCTATACTATCGTAAAAGCTTATCGCCAAAGAGATGCCAGTGAGCCTACTCTGCCGGCACTCGCCTGACCCTGGCTGGCCCGTGACTCTCTCATGACTCACTGAGTATGAGAGTATGCCAGTTTCCAGGTGCAGAGACGGGCAGCCTCCACTTCCTGTGCCTTGAAAACTAAGCCTTAGAGCCCTGGGCCCTCATGTAAGCAGCCCAACTATGACCCCACCGCCTCTGATTATTCCAGCCCTCGGATATTGGAAGCAACACAGATGAGGCCCCGAGAACATGAGGCAGAGTTAAATCATCCTTCCTGAGCTCTGAACTCCTGACCCACAGAACCACAGATACAGCATCACAATAAAATCGTTTAAAGCCACTATGTTTTAGGTAGTTTGCAATACAGCAATAGATCGTTGAAGCAACCAAGAAAACTCTGTACATAGCTGAACATTTTCACTGGGAGCAGAGAGCTGAAAGCTATCACCACAGTGCTGCCGCTAGACACACTGTGCACTGATCCGCGAATCGGAGAGGAAGCAGGAAATCAGGAAGGCCGGCATGGCTCAAAGGAGGCAGACATGGGGAGTGTGGTGTCACCATGGTGGCAAGACCCAGCTCCAGTGCACGGTCTGGAAGGTCATGATTATGAGCAGAGCAGCTGCGAGGCCCAGACTTGCTCCGTGTGCCCAGGGCCTCCTCGATCACTTAGCTCCGCATCGTCTGCAAGGCCTCCTGAGGTTTGAACAGAGAACCCGGCTCCCTAGCAGTGAGCTCCTGGAGCAAAGCCAGGCGTCTGAGCCTGCAGGCACACTCAGCACTGTGCGTGTGGACATACAAACACAGACAACACCATGACCTGCACGTGCTCCTGGGTGCAGCAGACTGGAATGCGGCACTCACAAACTGGGCAAGCTGGCTCATGCTTTAACGACCCCCTGAAGCACTTCTTGTCACCTCCCAGTTCAGCTAGGCACTGGGAAGCCCAGCCTCGGCGCAATGTGCCGGCCCAGTGAACCCCACTGTGAAGACTGAGAGGAAACTGTCAGAGGTGTGAACGCTGATGCCAGACTGAAATCCAGTTGCCATATGAGTGAACACACTGGGAACTGTTTGTCTGGCCTCTTCAGCCACCTCTGTGCTTTCAGACACAAGCACCCAGCATCGGACACTTACCTTTTGTCCCATTTTTCTGGGTCTTCTCAGAGGATAGTGTCAGGTTTCTGAAAAACAGGGTGCCAGCAGTCAACCACTCTGTGTCCAAACGAGGCACACGCCGTGTTTCAATTCGTCACCTTCATAGTAAAACCTTTACTGTTTTATTCAGTAAACACATGTTTCTAAGCACCACCTATTTGTCAGGTACTGTGCAAGGAGTTTACGATCTGAGGGAGAGTCGAGACACTTGGAAACTGCACACGCTTTAATAAAGAGAATTAAGTGCCGTGAGAAGACACTGAAGAAAGGGGATAATTTAGACTGAAGATCTGGGAAGGCTTCATGGAAGAGCTGGCCTGTGAACTGAGATTTGAGGACAGATGAGGAGGATTTCAAAAAGCAGAAGTCAAGGAAACATGGGCTGTAAGCCAGAAAGAAAAGGTGTGTTCCGGCAAAGTAAGCAAGAGGAACACACGAACGGGGGTCTGCAGCAATGTGCGTTGTTTCCGGAAGGGGAGGCATAAAATGACAAGAGAATCAAGTGCATGGAAGGAGGGAGGGAGGATTACAAGAGGCAAAGCTAGAAGGAAAGTTGGGGCGGGGCCACAGTACGAAGGTTGAATGTTTGCTCAGACACGTGGAATTAATTATATTATAAAAAAGAACTGCTAAACCCAGCCAGAGTGGCTCAGTTGGTTGAGAGACATCCCGTGCACAGAAGGGTTGTGGGTTTGATTCCCCATCAGGGCATATACCTCCGTTGCAGGTTTGATCACTAGTTGGGGAGCATATGGAAGGCAACCAAACGGTGTTTGTCTTTCTCTCGCTCTCTCTCTCTCTCTCTCTCTTTCTCTCTCTCTCTCTCTAACCCCCCTTCCTCTCTCTAAGCATGTCCTCGAGTGATGATTAAGGAGAAAAAAAAAAGACCAAGTCAAGATAATAGAAAAGTAATTGCAAATGCGGGGAAAGTACTTCTGCTTCAAAATTCAAGCTACTACCACCGGGGAGACCGTGTGCCTCTCTGAGGATCAATCCCATCGGGAGGGCGGGACCCGAGTCCGCCGCAGTCACCGTGGCTCCCAGCTCCTCTCTCTGCTGTCTGACATGCAGTATGGACATCACTACTTGCAAAGACAAGGAGTAAATTTTCCCATCTACCCAATTTGAAAATTGTTTATTTTGTTTGTTTCACAGCATGTTGCTTGTTCCTGTAGCCATTTATATGCTCCTGTGTTTTTCTCTGAGACTGTGAGCAATGTATGAGCAGGGAGCAGGCTGTGGTTATCCACATACCCCCCGACACCTAGCAGAGTGCCTTGCAAACAGAAGTTACTCATTATTTGTTGAGTGTATAAATAATATGGAAGATAAAATAGTCTAATTATATTGCATCAACACATTAATCTAGGCCCAAAAGAAAGCTATTTAAACCTGCCGTTCACTTCTGCATGTATATCCAAGGGAAATGCAATCATCATGTTCGAGAGGTAGCTGCATCCCTATATTCACTACATCTTTATTTACAATAGCCAAGACATGGAAGCAAGCCAAGTGTCCATCACTGGGTAAGTGAATAGAGAAGATGTGATTTAAATACACAATGAAATATTATTCAGCCATAAAAAATTAAACTCTGCCATTTGTGACAACAGGGATGGAATTTGAGGACATTATGCTAAGTAAAATAAGTCAGACAGAGAAAGACAAATATTGTATGATCTCACTAATATGTGAAATCTAAAAGAACTGAAGTCATAATAGAGAGAACAGAGTGGTGGTTGCCAGAAATGGATGTGGAAAATGGGCAAAATTGGTGAAAGTGGTCAAAATCTTATCTAGGTATAAGATAAATAATTCCCGTGTATATAATGTGCAGTATGCTGACTATAGGTAACAAACTGTAATGTATATTTGAAAGTTGCTAGAATAGTAGACATTAAAATTTCTCATCACACAAAAAAATTTGTAACTATATACGTGACAGATAGTAACTAATTGTTACAATCATTTCACAATATATATAATCAAATAATTATGTTGTAAAATGTTGTATGCCAATATATCTCAAAAAAAACTTGAAAATTGATAGATTTATCATTATTTTTATCACTTATTATCTTTGTTTTTTGTTCACAACTTAACAATGAAGTGATACTTCCCATTACTCCCTTTTGCCCTCTAGTGTGTGTGTGTGTGTGTGTGTGTGTGTGTGTGTGTGTGTGTGTGTGTGTATTCTATCCCTTTGTCATCCACAAAATGCATCTTTTTTCTTATTTAATCTTCTCCTCCTTAGAAACATGCCCTGGACTCTACTTCAGTGTGTCTCCTGTTTTTCATTTCCTTGTGTAATGATTCCTCAAATACATTTTTTCACCTCCTTCTTCTGTGAATGCAAATGGCCTCCTTCAACATCTTTCCCTAAATAAATGTCCAACTCTCCGAGAGCTTTGTTGGTTGTCCTACTTCTCTGTATCAAAATATGCACATAAACTTAAGCTTCTCCTTTTGACCATGAGGCTTTGTAAGTGTTATTATTTTGGATGAAGTTGTCATTATAGTTATGAATACACAATCAACTTAACATAAACATATTATAATCTATACAAATAAGTATTAAATATAAAACATGCACCTTTTAACAAGATGGATGTGGCTATGTTGAGTGTTTGGAGCTTGGTTTGCTGCTTCTTGTCTCTGAGACAAGAAGGAGAGAGCATGCAGTATCAACTCTGCTTCTAGTTTTTGTCCCTGTAGACTGTTCACATACACTAGTAAAAGTAGAAGGAAGAATTGTATTACAGCAATGACTTAATTCTTTGAACTCTTCCCATGTTGCATGCCAAAAATTATATAATGGTCTATGTTCAAACATGTATGTGTTCAACTACCAGGTAACAACTCAATAGATCCCCATTCCATTTTGTTGAAAGTAAATGATTGAGCCCTGGCCAGTTTGGCTCAGTGGTTAGAGCGTCGGCCTGCGGGCCAGAGACCCAGGTTTGGTTCCCACTAAGGGCACATACCTCGGTTGCAGTTTGTCCCCAGTCCTGGTTGGGTCGTGCGGGTGGCAGCCACTGGATGTGTCCCTTTCACGTCGATGTTTCTCTCTCTCTCTCTCTTTCTTCCTCTCTCTCCCTCCCACTCTGTCTGAACAAAAAATGGAAAAAGTGTCCTCAGGTGAGGATAAAAAAAAAAAAAAAGAAAGAAAGAAAGAAAGTAAATGATTGGAATCCACCATACTTGCAAAATGACTTGCTACCCTGTTCTTAGAGTCATTCACTTTTCAGATTCTGGGAAGTACATGAAAAAGCTTTGCCAACACTTAACACAATATTATTGCTTACACCTGTTATTCTTTTACGTAAAAGCACCTTATTTAACCAACAAATTCTGAGAGGGGAGGAATGTCTCTAAATCTCTCCTGAGGAATATACTCTCTCTAGCTTCCAAGGCTGCTTGCTATTCAAACAATCCCTTTGCTCAGAAGGCTCAGATTCTGCTGGAACATGAGCTATTCAGAGAAAAGTGTCTCCTAAACATGTATTTTGAATATATTTTCATCATAGCCTTGGAGCTATGGATGAGTTTAAACAATTAATAGAAAATACTCACCATACAGTTCAACAGGCAAATTCATTCTTCATTATCAAATCAATTGGCCAAATTAGACTTCATCCTGTGAGAAAAGAAAGCTGCCTTCATTTTTTAAATTCAAATAAAGGTGTTTTCATAAATCCCTATAACAACCAGCTCCCTTCTGAACTCCATTCACGCTAACACTGACATGGGTCAATACAGGCATGCCTCCTTTTATTGTGTTTCACTTTATTGTGATTCACAGATGCTGCATTTTTTACAAATTGAAGGCCAAGACCCTCCACATGCAAAACCATTATGACTCCCTTTATTGTGGTGGTCTGAAACCGAACCCACAACATCTCTAAGGTATGCCTGAATCCTGTTTCCAAAGTCATGCTTTACTCTGTACAGAAACAAGACTATATAGCAGGGGAAACACGAAAGTCTTATTGGGTTGTTGTTGCTTGATGAAAGTAGAAAGTCTTATTGGGTTGTTGTTGCTTGATGAAAGTAGAGTTTGCTGTCCTGGCCGGTTTGGCTCAGTGGTAGAGCATCAGCCTGAGGTCTAGGGAGGCCCGGGTTCGGTTTCCACTAAGGCCATGTACCTCTGTTGCAGTTTGTCCATGGCCCTGCTTCGTCGTGCGGGTGGCAACCACTCAATGTGTCCCTTTCACATCGATGTTTCTCTCTCTCTCTCTCTCTCTCTCCCTCCCTCCCTCCCTCCCTCCCTCCCCACTCTATCTGAACAAAAAATGGAAAAGTGTCCTCAGGTGAGGATAAAAAAATAAAAATAAATAAAAAAGAAAGTAGAGTTTGCTGACACCAATATTGCAAATTGTGTTTATCTGGGGCCACCAGTTTTTACACTGTGGCACAAACCAGGCATGTCTTATATTTGTAAACTGAGAACGAGGCAACTGTGAAAGAGAGAAGAGAAAGAACTAGTCCAATGTCATGATCACAGGTCCATGTTCAGGAAATTGTAGGAAAATGAACACTGAGGCATGAAATATGTTATTTTACAACTGTATCCCATGTGTCCCTTACAAGGTCTCTGTGTTCTTTCAACAGTACATGTACCCCAGTTGGGTTAGTGTAAATCAGCTATGCGTACTGTGACAGAAAAATAAAAGTAGTCTCACAACATCATCTTGGTGCGTGATCAAAGGAAGGTCAGTGAGCCAGAATAGCTATATTTTCTAGACACATAGGTCACATAATTCTGTCTTTCTAATTTGAAGAATGTCATGTTTGCTTTCTTTGGTGATTTTAGATCATTCACTGCTCTGCATTTAAAATACTGTTAAGTTTAAAGGAAGAGTGAGGAAAATGCATAAATTTAAGAACAGGAATAATAACCCAGCATGATAGACAACTCAAAGGATGCTTGCTGCTTAAAACATCAAGGATCTTGAAGTTTCTGCCATAAAAACTGGGGCCCTTGTTCTTACTTGTAATGATAATGGTGGTTAATTAGAAAAGCAGTTGGTCCTGGGAGTACAATAAAGGCAATTTTGAACGTTAATAAAAGGAAGCTGTCAAGTAGATCCAGCTACTGATTTATTAAAGATAAAAAAAAGTAGTTTAGTAGAGTTTTTGTTCCCTGCTCATCACATATTATTTCAATTCAAGTGGAACACTTGATTTTGAGAGGGGGGAAAAAAAGATAAATTTAGTTCTTACTATATTTTGGTTTTATTATTTCATATTCCAATTATATTTACCACTTCAGTATGAACAGAGTCAATAGCAACAAGCAACATCGTAACAAAAGTCCATGATTCTTGTGGCCGATTTTGTCACAGGTGTATATCAACACAAGAGTCACTAGGCAGTGTTAAATGGTATTTGCTGCACAAAAATACATTAGCTGGAAACAGAAGATGTGATTCTTGTATTCAAAGAGTTCCAAACAATACCTTATGGAAGCAAAGGGAATCTGTTATTTATTTTAAAAAAAACATATCTATTGAATTAATACGTTAAAAAATTACTCCCAGCATCTGTTATTCAGTATATTTGAGTAAATGTCACTCTTTGTCCTAAACCAAATTGTAGGAAGTAACTGCAAATGCAGTACAATACCATTTCAAGAAACTTTGATTGCAGATAAACAGCAATGGCAGATGCTGACCCAGTTCCTTCCCTCACCCCTACATAATGTACCCCCTGCCCTCCTACTCCTGAGCTCGGGCTCTCGAGCTCTTCCTCACTGGCTGAATTTTCAAAGACAAATCCTGCCATTTTTCTGGGTCAGAGTCACGGCAACCAGAGATGAGGAAAAAAATAATCGCTGAGTGTGTCCTTCTGTGATATACCTGTAACTGGGACAAACCAGGTATGAATGTGTCCCCGCATCCAGAGTGCCACAAGGAGTCAACTTTCCAGATGATGCACCTGTAACATACCATCTAATTACCACCCACAAAGGAGTTCTCAGGTCATCAAAAGACTTACCAGTAGCTGCTGCTGAGATTTAGAAAGATAGGCAAAACCCTAACTATTTGGAATTTTTATTAAAAGGCTACTAATATAAATCCCTGCTGACCTGAGTTACTGGATTTTAAGATTACAAATATGCTAAAGGAAAAGAGAAAAAAACTATTGTTCCCTCTCTTAAAAAAACAAAACAAAAAAAAACAAAACCACAACCCTGAGAAATGTTGAACAGAGAAACTTCTAAATGTTGTCTTAGATTTTTTAACTGGTTATAAATCCCCAACTGAGAAACGTCCATGCAGATGATGAGGGGCAAGAGGTAGGGGGTGGGGATGAGAATATAGACACTCTCATTAAAGTTGTCTATACTGTCTACACTCCAAACCATTTTATCAAAAATAGTCACATGTCTTTATTCTCATGCCCTTGACATGCTTCTCTTAGGCAGACATGTCCTCTGTGTCCAGTGATTTGAAAATGTGGAAGTCTAGAGTTTACTTAAGGCATCCACTATGCTAAATACCTAATATGTGGGTAACTTGCAACCTACAGTTTAGCATCCCAGATTATAGTTTAGCAAATCAATGTAATGAGAATAAAAGAGATCTTGGTTGTCCACTTCATTTCCATTCCCAATGGGATAAACTGAAGTAAACATGTGTCCACCAAGGGCCAGAAAAAGTAAATGTTGGGTAGGGTCTAATGCCTGTGCTCTATGACAAGGCTTGACCCACCTGTATGTTGGCATAGCACCTGTGGAACTCGGCTTGAGAGCCTGTATATAAGATGGAGAAAGGTGAATGACATGACAGCCCAGTGAGGTAGACTTTTAGCATTTGCAAAGAGCCGTGACTGATGGCCTATGTCATCATCAATGGAAGCCTCCAGTGTATGGGTGAAGGCATTCAGAAGATGCCCACATATGTGCCACTTTGGCATGTGCATTATTTTGAGTCAAAGGCAATTGAGACCCTGCAGGCTGGAGAGAAACTCTTACCTCTCCCTTCAAGAATCTAAATTGAGGGCTTGCCCATAAGAATGATCACCAGAAATAACTTTTTATGACCTAGCTATAGGGCAGGGCAAACTTCTAATTAATGAACATCTGCTCTTCTTATCATCCTGCAAATGACTTCCTTCCCCTCTGAGGCCCTTGCTTACCTCCAGGTGCCTTACTTACCTCATCCTGAGCTCAGAATGTCATATATACCTCATTTTAATGTTTTGTCTCTGAACCTCTCTTGTATGTGGTCTCTGACTCTTACATATGTAGGGTTCCCATATGTACATATGTAATTAAATTTGATTATTTTCTCTTGTTAATCTGTCTCATGCAGATTTATTAGACCAGCTGGAGAACCCAGAAGGACAGAAGAAAGTTTCTTTCTTCCCCCTGTATGGGGATGTGCTTATATGTGTGTGAGTGTATGGATGTGAGTATATGGATATGGGGGTGTAAGTGTATGTGTACATATGCATGGATAGGTGAGTGTGCTTAATGGAGAGTTCACACACACACACTGTGTTGCAAATTTTCCTCAATTCTTCTCTTTTCCTTGCCCCCTACATTAATGCTTTGTTGGATCCTTTTAACTTCTCCAAAGCACGTTCCCAATTTGTCTACTTCTCACCATCTCCATTACTGCCAGCTGGTTGTAGCCACCACCACCTCTCACCTGGACACAG